ACATCTTTTAAATTATTGCTTAAAAATGAATTGTGCAATTTATTGAGGTTTTTCAGGGGAGGGGGATTAGCACTGATGATGTAGAAGCTCTCAAAAAGTAATGCATCAAATATGATACACTTGGATTTAAGGGGTTAATGCCCAACCTGGGGTCATACATGTGACTGTAACTGTTTCGGTGAACATACAGCAGGTGACTCTGAGTGCAAAGCAATGCTTAAATGGCCCTCAAACTGCAGCACAGACTATTATTGTTCCTGCTGAATTGGAAACAGGCATTAGCAGAAAATACGGTATATGGGAATGAGGCTACAGCAAGTCACAAACAGCTCTGAAATGGTTGCTTTTATCTTGATTGACTGTAAATGAATGAGAAATGTCAACACGTGGTGGCCTCAGTGCAGCAGTTAAACCCGTCTTCAAACAGTAACAGGTCGGCCATGCTGCCATACCAGCCAGGACTCTTCTGAACACTCCTCATGAATTAATTCACTTTCAGGTTAGCTTGTTTAACATCCCTCCAAGCACTGTACTGTCACTCCAGCTTAAATCATATATGAATCTGCGCTGCCCCCTGCAGGCTGGTATTTGCATGTGCGAGGAAGGCTTCACAGAAGTGCTGTCATCCACTGGGCAGCTGGACCAGTGTGCCCCCATCCCCATCCTGGAGATCCCCACAGCAGGGGACAAAAAAGGGGATGTGAAGACCAGTCGTGCCATTAACCCCACACTGCCCACCACCATCCAGCCCGGACGCAACGGGCGAACTTGGTACCTGCAGCCCTATGGACCAGGTCAGACCATCACACACTCATCACACCTTATGCAGATTCATATCACTGTTTACCAAACTACAGGTTATCGTCAGTGTTAACAAACATCACAAATGCAAGGAGAATACAATTGTTTTGCTGCTGTCAAGTGAAAACCTTTAAAAGGCATCTCCAATGCTCATTTGCACCTCTATACTGTATTTCTTGGACTCTACTAGAGTAATTTTGTATGTTTCACAGGTCAAAATGATCCGTATTTATCTTATACATGGCCTCTGTCTAGCCCCTCAGTTCATCCGCCGTCTTAAAACAACCTTTTTGGTTCCTGTTTTTAGGCCACCTGCACTTTCAGCCAGTTTTCCTCTGATTGACGGCTTCTCACAAACAGCAGATGTATGAGGCTGCTGTGCTCACAGCCAGAGCTGGTTTTAATAATGAAAACTCCCCCCATCTTTGACATGCAGTGATATGACAGAAAATAAGAAAAACCATAACAGCACCCCCATTTAATCTTTAAAATGCCATGTGTTGGGGAACTACTTAAAGTGCTGCTTTACAAGCTTTTCTTTCCACAGAAAAGTGAATGTAGGCACAACTATTGCATCCTTTCCAAAGCAAGCCTTTGCTTACAGTGATGGTAGACATGTATCTGTAAAGTAAAGAATGTGCAGAGAATAATAAAAACTCCTCCGTTTCAAGTTTCTGTTAGCGTGGCTGAAGGGAAAAGATTTCCGAGTCCAGCGTCTGACTTTTTCCAACCTACAGAGCTCCACATAATCCTTGCAGTGAAGTTAAGACATAAAGCTGAGAGGTTTTCACATGACAACAGCAGGACGTGCTTTACTTTCAGTATGTTTGGGCGGATTTAGTGTTGACAGTGCTGAATTAATGTTAGCTTGTACTTGCAGCTCTGTACGAAATAAAACCAACATATGTAATATCACACGAGTCCTTTTGGATGCACTGATGACGCTTTCCTACCTGCTCTTGACTTCCGCTACATTAACGTTTGAGAGCGGCGTCTGCACGGAGCGTTGTGACTGATGATGCATGCGAGAACCATTTAGGATGCGAGAGCACAGAACAGATTGAGTTAAAGTGTCTCAGGAGCAAACACTTCCACATCCACAAACCATCACTTACAGTAACTTTTGCATTATTTATCTTCCATATGCTTGCTTGTTTTGCAATACAATGCTTGCTGTTATACTTCACTACAGTAAGATATAAATAAAGATGCAACTAGATTATATAGCTTGTGATTTGCACTGTGATCAGGTCAACTTTGGGAACAAGAGAAAAGCAATCGGGCATGTTTGAGAAATCGACACTTCAATATTTTCTGCAAGTGCCGCATGCTTACTGAGTACACACAGAGTACTTACAGGGTACTAATGACATTGCATAAACACGACTGTAAGCTGGAAAAAGAAAAACAGATGATGGGTACGTGTTTGACAGTTATAATGCCCCACGGCGTCACTGATTTGTCCTGTATGTGCCAGCTTCGGTTTTCTGGTCTGACGTCAGAGTTGTGCTCGTCTAAGGAGCTCGGAAAGAAAACGACTGGGGTTCTTTAAGTTTTAACAAAACGTAATCTGACAAAATATCTATTATTCTAAATGAAATGACTAAACTGGCTGAAAATATTTTCTTACAGTGCTGAGATTTATTTTGGCTCCAGCTCTGTTTGAGACATGGTCTCTATAAAGGAAAAATTCAGATTTCATTTAATATTTCAGTCGATTTGAGTCCATTTCTACCCCGTGTAGAGTTAGTAAATTACCACTCCATTATTTCTGACACATTCTACTAATTACAAAAAAAATAAGAAACAACATGTTTACATGACAGTAGTTTGGGAAATGGACACTAGTACACTTTGCAGTCTGTAAGCAATGATCACAGATCACTTGTGTGAAATCAGCGGCTGGCCCATTTAACCGTCAGGCTCTGGCACTTCGCTGCCCATCTGACAAAAGCTGCTGCACCCTGAGAAAATACACAGAGCACCGTTTATGGATAACAACATGCTCCGCTGGTTTCTCATTCCCGGTATTTTTTTGCCTTGTTTTCTTCCACTATGCCCCCAGTTAAGTACCTGACTCTCAGGATATTACACTGTAAACCACAAGCTATGTGATTTATTTATTTATTGATATTAGAGGGATGCACTGATCCAATACTTGAATCGGATGTTATATCAGTCCAATCCTAATTCAAAAAGCAGGATCGATTGTTGTTGTTGACAGTGGGTCAGTCTGTTCAATAATTCTATGTTTGTCTGCGATTACTACAGCACACATCAGCAGCTGTTAGCAGGAGAGCTACAACAGTAACAGCAAAGCATCACCAGTTTAGACATATTTCACCTCAAACTGCGGTTGAGTGATTTGACACGACTGAAAAAGCTCCAACATCGACAGTGCTTTCTGTATCACCTTCTCATTGGCAGCCTTTTATTATTAATACAATAATCGAACACAGTGTGGTAAAGCAGATTATTATTATTTCACGTGTTAAGGAGGAAAGGCTGAGATGGTTTGGACATGTGCAGAGGAGGGATAGTTGATATACTGGACAAAAGATTTTGAAGATAGAGCTGCCGGGCAGGAGGAGAAAAGGAAGAACATAGAGAAGATTCATGGATGTAGTGAGAGAGGAGACGCAGGGCTGCTGTGACAGAAAAGGATGCGAAGGAGAGAGCGAGATGGAGACAGATGAGCCGTTGTGGAGACCTCTAAAGGAAGCAGCAAAAAGAAGTAGCAGTTGTCAGCTTTACTCCACTCAGGATGCTCGTGTTTGTATGAGAGGTGATGCACTCACATCAGAGCTGGAAAGCAGAAGCTGGTGCAGCTGTAAATCACAGTAATGACGCTCACGGCGAGCTGAAGGGAGACTAGTGCATGATGAATAAAAATATTATTTTTTTATTTAGGCTATTAAATTAAATTAAATTCCCTTACGCATAAAAGAATGAGTCCAAGTCTCTTCCTTAGAGTGAGGAATATAGCTTATTAATTTGTCACAGGATCAATACTGTTTTGGCAGATACTCTGAGCCAGTGTCTCTCTATCATATTGGAACTGGAAAAAGTTGGATCAGTGTGTCCCTAACTGTTATAAAGTACTGCAGAAATCTTCACAGAGTCCTTTTAATGGCTTCTGGTTCCATGTCAAAGTGTAAACAGACAAACTGACGAGCTTCCTCCTCCACAGATGGGAAGCTGAAGATGTGGGTGTATGGTGTAGCAGCTGGAGCCTTTGTGCTCCTCATATTCATAGTGTCTATGATATACCTAGCTTGGTGAGTTGATGAGTTTAATCTCCCCTATAATCATCCTCCTCATCCTCATTCATGAAACTATTAACATTTTTCACCCCCCACCCACTCTGAGTTCAAGCGTCCCCTCCCTCACATCATTCCTGTTTTGGGTTTTTTTTGTCTTTACTTATTTTGCTTGCTTCATGCCCTTCCCATGTGAGAGCAGCAGCTACTGTGCTATGGTGCATCGCTCACTTAAGGCCCAAGAGTCTGATGCCAATGGGACGGCAGTGTGGATGGGCCAAAATGCACACGAGATGACTTACACCTGCCCTGATTGCCAAGACCTAGCTCAAAGCAGCAGCAGCTAAAGAGGATGTGGAGGGTTCGCCCCCACCCCGACACACCCTTCAGTATAAGTACCTGCAAGTCCCTGAGCTTTCCCTGTGACCTTTGTCAAGGTGTCACATGTCCTGCCTGACTGGCTCAGTGAAGGTGCTGGTCCAGGTGAGGGCAAACCACCCAGAATATGTTTCTCTCAGTTCTCGTAGAGATCTTTTAGCGCTCTTAGACAAACTGATGTTAAGTCACCCTGACCTTTTCTCTACCCACTGCCTCATTTTGATTATAATCACGCACTCCAAGTAAATCTACACACATCACAAAGCCAATTTATAATTACAGCTGATTGCAAACCATAGTGTTTCTCTAAAAGATATATGACAGAGTGATGTCAACCATTTATTTAGGACAAGAAAGAGTCCACGAAACATTGGTGTTTGATGACAGGTTACCCTGTTGTATGCTGTAAAGTAAGCCTACTATTGCTATATGACATCACTTTTTTAGTAACAAAGAATGTAACATCTGTAACAACATAATGACTTCCTGTTAAATGATGACTTTTATACTTATCAGGCCCAGCTAATCTCAAATAGCGAGGAGATATTAAACATGAATCCCAAAAGACAGCTCGAGAGTAAAGAGGTTGAATAAGAACTTGAAACCACTTCTGTGTCTGTACACAACAGAAAGTAAGAGCCAGCAGGCAGTCAGCTTACACTGAAAAACTGCAGAGAAAAGGTCAGCTCTGACCAAAGTTCAAAATTACAGCTACCACCCACAGACTTGGTGTAGACGGACATAGCTTGTAGGTCAAAAGAGTGAAGTGATGGTGTAAGTGCCTTAAGCCTGCGCTCTTTTTTTAACAGCTAGCAGGAGGCGACTCCTCTGATTGTACAAAGAGACAAACTGAAACTTTTTGAGAGAAAAACCTTTCGCTCTGTTCTTATATGACCTCGAAAAACACTAGTTTTTTGTTCTAAGGCTCCAGATTCAAGTCTTAGTGAATACAATAGGATGCTTATTTTGGAAAGTCAAAAATAGAGTTTTAAAACACCAAGATGGCAACATTAAAAACACTCAGCTCAACTGTTCACATCAGGGTTTCAATAAAGAAGAAAAGCGTTACAGCGGCTACATTCACGCGACGTAAGCCACGATTGTTACAGTCACCATTGTTACTAAACTCAACTGAAAGTAGTCGTGAAAAACATTTTACTCAGCTTAAATAAATAATAACATCTGCATTAATGCTATGTTTATGAGACTGGGATGTCCATATGGCTGTATTGTGCTTTTCTGAACTCATTTTAAATCTGACCCAGACAATAAAGTTACTGTATATACCCATGCATTATAGTTCATATTTTAAAAAACTAAAATAAGGGCTCAAAAAGTAAAAAAACAAAACAAAACCCAACTTCAAATAAAAACATGGACAAAAATATAGATAATTTTCTTAATACACAGTTAGGTTTAAATCCCTACCTGTTTCATAAGCTTGTTACATGTTTGTATGAAAAACTGAACACTTCAACTAGTAAAAATATTTGATTCCTCACAGAAATACAGGAAATTAGAAATTAGAAATTTACCCTACAGGAAATTAGAAATTTCCTGTAGGGTAAATTTATTCAGCAGTCTCCGCACTGCTGAATAAATGCAGTTATTTTACAGCTGATTTGTTTTAGGACAAAGTTATTCATGCATATCATAAACTCAACTTAGAGAGATTGTGTTCATCACAAAACTGTGATGTATATAAAAAAAACAAAACGTTTTATTTAGTGGGATGTGTGAATACTTGTTAGCAGAGCGGAAAAAAGTTAAAAATTAAAAAAGTTACACTTCAAATGTTTAAAAAATGACATTAAAAATAACATTGCTTCAGTGGACATGTTCTTCACCATCATATACTTTCATCATACTTCTCAGAGCTCGTGTAAAATTATTTTTCTCTCATTTAATTTTTTTTTAAACGAGGGTTAATGTGTGGGAATAATCATCTTGTTTAAACTCCAAGCAGAATATGAGCAGACTGAGATGATGACATTAAAGAGACATTTAAGTATTAACTTCAGGCAAGGTTTAAATCAGGTTTAGATCTCCACGAGGCTGAAGTGCTTTAATAAGACGATGTCACGCTGCCCTCTTGTGGCCAAAGATGGAACCATAGTAACACATGCCCTTTATTTCCTTCCCAATCAACTATTGTTACAAGATAAACACTCTTTGTTCCTCTGTGTTCCTTTACTTTAAAAGACCATTATCTATAAAGTAGGATAAGAAGATAAGAAGTTCAAATAGCAATCAGTATTTTGTTAAATAAATTTAATATCAACCTTTGGTGCTTTTCTTTGACTCTGACTCTGCTTCGATTTGGCCTAAAACACGCTCTGCGTCACTTTTAACATCAGGAAATTTTAATGAACTTTTTTTTAACCTTCTTACTTTTTATTTTAAATAATCGTTTAACTGAAAAAGATTCTTTGTTATTAAGAACAAACAGCTAGAGCTGTAGTGTGATCACGCATCACTACAGATGAGGTGTTTGATGAACACGTTTTTGCTGCTTGCTTGAACGTTTGCTGTCGTTTACTCTGCAGCGACTTTATCAGCTCTTCATCAGAAAAACTATTCACAGGAAATTCCCTAGAGTGTTCCTCTGATTGTCCTCACCAAATCCAGTGCTTCAGAAAGCATTTCGGTACATGTCTCGTACTCTGGCTTTGGGAGGAAATATTAATTAGACTTTTTCTTCTGGTTAAAACTAGATTAAAAAAAAATCTTAACAATAGAAGTTAAATGATAGAATACACAGCAGAACTAAATATTGGCTTTAATGATTTCAAAAGCCGTTCTCTATGGGATATCAGATGCTTCTGAAAATGTCTAATATTACACACCTCATTACTTTGACACACCCTGATGTTTAAGCAGCACTGACAGCTCAGAGAAAAGCTTTGTGTCTTTGCTTCATCTAGAAGCTTTTTCCCTCTCTGGTAGAAGAGGTCGGGCATGTGATCGTCTCTGCATATTAACTCACTAATAGCTCTTCATGCTTTTAAACTGAGATGTATGAGTCTCATTTCTCACAAAAACAACAACAACAAAAAAAACTGTTTGTGTAAAACCTGTTAACCAGTACAGTGACTGTAGTCTGGGCTCTACAGCTTTTTAGTTTTTAAGGTAACCTGATTCGTAGGGTTTTTTTGTAGCTCTGTCAGAATTTGAATCCCATGAAATATCAGAACCAGTGATGAAATGGTTGAAATACAGAAGCCTAATATGAGGTGCAATCAAATATTGAGTGAGTAGAACCATATTATATAAATAAAACCATACCTGATTTAAACTCTGGACCATTTTTAAATCATCATCTGCCAGTCCTGTTTTGACAACTTAAATTGCTCTTCTGCGATTTTTCACTAGCTTTTTTCAAACTGACCTAAATTTCATTTCAAGGTTCATCAGTAGTAATCTGATCCTGGTCCCCCCCCCCCCAAAAAAAAAGCACGAAAGCATTCAAGCAAACCACCTGAGCTGTGATACATGCTATCCTGGGCCAGCATACTGACTATTTTAGCCACAAACATTCACCAACTGCCTTAATCTTATGATTTGGCTCCCAGCCACTCAGTGCTCTTTCTCCAAAAATTAAGGAAATCACAACACTTGCAGAGGTAGCTCAGTAGGTTGAACAGCTCATCTGGTAGATGAGCCGTTCTACCAAAGAGATCAGGCTACTCCATTGGGTGAATGAGGCTTGTAGTAAAATGTGATTTGAGTGCCCAGTTTAATGGTCAGAGTGGGACTTCCAGGGAGTCATCAAAACAAGGCCGTTCCCAAGGAAATTGTCTATATGGGTAAATTAGCCACATTTAATCAGGTGTGGGTCTTTTTTTCTTTATTGATTGTGTTGCAGAACTTTTAGCATTACTTATGTCAGATATCACCATGATTGTCTAAAAAAAAAAAAAAAAAGCACACACACAGTTTAAGTGAAGAAATACTTTTGAACAATTGCTAACGTTTTTATTAAGACTTAAATAATAATTTAATGGTTTTTAGAAAGTCTCGTTGGTTTTGTCATTTTCATGGGATTCAGAACAAAAGAGATCAAGGTTATCGTCACATTAAGTATTGATAATTTATTTGTGGACTAGAGATACTTGAGAAGGTTCACTATCAGCTTAAAACTGGGAACAGGTATTTTTTAGATTATCAAAAAACCCCTAAAACTACAAATCAAAATTAGGAAGCAAAACACAATTCATATGGACATCTTTTGCATTTTTCAAAACACTTTCCCTCCCCTGTTTGTGACATCGTCTCACCTGCATTGTGTGTCTCATAACTGCCATCGCATTTACCCAAACACTTCAGGATTAGAGTGACAGCAGAGCTGTGTTTCAAGTGCCACTCTGACCCCGTTTTCATCTTTCCATACAGCAAAAAGCCAAAGAGACCTCAGAGACAGAGACAACAGAATAACCGACTAAAACCTCTGACTCTCGCCTACGACGGGGACACGGACATGTAGTCCTCCACGAGCTGCTTCACCCAGCACTTCACCTGTCACAGAGACCCACTTCATCACGCCATTACAGTGAGCGACATGGATGTTTGCAGCGTGAATGGACACGTCACGGAGCGCAGAAATGACGGGAAATCCTCTTAGCAGAGACACTGGTGGGGTTTAACCATTTCAAGTAGAGCTTCATTCACTCCTCTTTTGTTTTCTCGAATATTTTCTTTTTGCAGAGCTTTTATGACCTCCAGCGTGTTCAAGGAAATGCCTTTTTTTCGCCCCCTACACACCAGTATTTCTGTATTGAAAGACTTGTTTGAGACACTGGAAAAGCTGGGCGCAGAAGACAGAACCAGCTCTCCTGCTGTCTTTGAACATGGCAGCGCAGGCTCCAGCTCTTCCCCCACGCTTTTTCTGCTTGTCCCTAAAAATGCTGAGTAGCTGGAGGCTTAGGATGCTCTGACGGTTCGCACGTTGCCAAAAGTCACCGCAGGGAAGAGGAGGAGGGAGAGGAAAATCTCCATAAAAAGGTTTGGATTCCTTTTTCTCAATCCTCAACTGGGTTTTGACTCAAATCTCTTTTACGGTCTTGAACAAAAGGGAGGCATTACTTCTCTCTCTTTTTTTTTTCCCGGCTTGATTCAGAGGCACACAGGCCTGTGTTTGTGGGATAAACCGATCTGTATGATGCTGATGGAGGAGTAGCCTGCAATCAGTTGTTCATGGAAACTACTGCCTGCCTGCCTGCTTGCCTCCACCCTTGCTTTGTTTCAGGCACTACATTGCACTATATTAGTGCAGCATGATATGCACATGTGACTTCTACTTTCTATTGCCATAAAACACTGCCTCTTCCACAGACAAAAAAAAACAAAAACATAAAGCAGAGGAACAGCTTCAGTCAACACGAGAACATTACAAGGGAAGCAACAGCGACAGGAAGGGACATTTAGACGTGTCACGTTCGATAAAACAGGTGTGAATCTCAAGTAAATATATGTATAGATTTTATTTCTCACAAACGTCAGACTTTTTGGTTGTAGTAAAGTCGCTTTTGTGGTTTGTAGATTTCGTCTGGTGTCATCACTTTATTTCTGCCCAGATGCAACTACGATATCAGCAGGTGTTAACTGATCGCCTGCTTTACAAGTTCTTTTTTAAATACTTTTTTTTTTTAACTCTTTACATACAACAGCTCATGTGCAAACACTCAAATTTTGCAGTGAGTAATAAAAAAAAAAATGGACACTGCAAAATTTTAATCATTCATGTCATGCAAATGTCGTTTCTGCCTTACTGACGATAACTGAATACTAACAGTCCTCTAATACAGGTTAATACTTGAATGGGGCAAACGTCGACACTACAGTACGTTTAGACAAAAAAAAAGAAAAACAACAAAATTTTCTTTCGAGGTTAGGTAGATGGATCGAACCAGTTTTTAAACTTTTTCATGTAGTAAGTATTATAGGTGCTCTATTGTTTTCAGTCACACGAAACGAAGACGAAATATTAAAAAGAAAACAATCTGTACAAACAAGTATACAATATGTTAATAATAAGAGAACACGCTTCTGAGTTCAACGTAAAAGCAAAACTGGTGTGGAGAATGTTTACTTCTTTTTGTTGGATTTGTAAATAACAGCGATTTTTTTATTTTTTTGGAGAAAAAAAAATCAAAGTATGTGTACATTTATTTTGTATTGCACAGAAAACGTTTAGTTTGAATATTGCAAAGTGGGTGTATGATATTGCTGATTGTTGTTACCATGATGCAAGTTGTATGTTGTGACAAACAAACAAAAAAGGAAAGCAAAAAGAAGCGGAAAAGTCGGCCATTTTGTACAGGTTGTTTATATGTATGGGAAGAAATACTAAAAATAAATGCGGACACGGTTGTAAACACACAAAGAGAAAAAGTAAGGAAGCCTTTTTTTTTATTACTTTCTTTATATGTTCATTAAGGAAGAAAAGCTTCAAATAAAAATACTTCAAACTGGCGTTAAAGGAGTTAGAGGCTGGATTTTGTATTAGAGAGCCATCATCACAGCCATCTCCTGTTCGCTAGCACTCTAATGGAAACAACACATTTCAGTGCATAAACTGTACAAAACAGATGGATGTAGCCACCTTTACTGTTATAGACTCGAGTTTCAGTCAGGCATAGCTTCTAGATCTGAAAACTCCACAAGTACCTCAAACCAGCATTCTTTTTAATGGCCACTGGGGGGCGATACCTGTTTTGCAAAATGCCTTCAGATCCAATAGAAATCTATAGGAAAACACTCAGATTTGATCTCTGACCACTATCCTGCCAAGTATGTGATCTCTGTCGCTCATATCGGGTCCTGTTGTTTTCTATAGGCTGAGTGTGTTAGGGCTCACCACAGTGGGTCATCTCACCCTATCCCCTTTCCTCTGCTCCTCTTTGTGTGCGTAAAAGATGAATGTATGTTTATGTTTATACCTATTTAAGAGGGATAATGCATATTAATTAACAAAACTTCTTAAAATTCATGTGTCAGATTTAGCCATACAGGCTAATTTTCCTACAGTCCCTGGATGTTTCAGAGTCTGGAAGGTGAAGCCTACGCATTAGGGCCTTAAACACAGATATCTGTAGTCATACTGACCAAAACATGACGTCTATATAAATCTTATCCAGGGACTTCATGGCAGCTACATTGACCTTTTAGATCACCTGTGGTTTTATTGAACATGACCTCAAATGAGTGACTGAGACAATAAACCCATCAGGGAATTGTTAACTGGGGTCTGAGCCATTTTCCTATAGGACCAATGTCTTTATTCTGCCCCCTGGTGGCTAGAATGTAGGTTGCAGGAACATAAATGTAACGAAACAGAACAGAGCAGAGCAGAGAGACCACAACAGAGCTTTACACTGAGCTGAAATGAAACGGGGGCACATAAAGTAGGTAAATATTTTACCCTCTCAAGACATTAAAACACTCAGTAATCTGTTTTTGACAGTCGGATTACAATACACTTAGAGGAGGTGACTCTCTTTACTCCATCAGATCTTATATAACAAATAGTCGTGTATATACAGAGCGGCCGAACTACACATAACTAGCTCACTGGGATTGTGTCCATTAAAAGTATTTTCTCTTATTTGACAAAAAGCTACATTTTACTGTTTTTCTTGACAATTTCATGATCAAAAGTGATGCTTGAGTAAACCAAGATAATAGATGGATAATAACAATGGTATATAGTGCATTGTGTTCAGACTGTAAAAAATGTAGAAAAAAGGACGAAACTGAGGCTTAAACAAGAAACAAAATCTGTTTGTGTGTTTTAGTTAAATTCTTAGCAGTCAATCTAATTAGTTTGTAATTTTTTGATTCTGACAAGATTAATATTAAACTGAGCATTTTATGATAGAAGTGCACACTTTCTAAGTTACAGTGTTTTTCTGCAGCATGAACTCTTACAGAAATTTCTCAAACACAAGCTTAGGTCTGTCAGAACCCAGAAATAAAAAAGTATATAAAGAGTTTTACAATTTCAAATCTATTACTTTCTTCCAAAGACTTTTATTTAAATTAAAATGTGCATTCAGTGTGTTATGTTTTCATGGAGATAAGTAATTATGGAAATTACGCTTGTAAATTTAATAGCCGTCCTCTTTCATTTCCCATGGTTCTCTGAGAAACTACATTATATTAGTTACGAAGCATTAAATGGAGAAAATGTGCAATCAGGCAGAAAACTGGTCCAAATCAACAACTGCAGAGACGGGCTAAATCAAGTTTCCTGTTTCTCCGCAGCAGTCAGATGAGACTGAGCCCTGTTCATACTCAGTGACGACATAAATCTGAAATAACAGGTGACACATAAATGATTTGTTAGTGTAAAACTCTCAGTAACTCTCTTTAACAGCTGGATGCTGAGCTAATTGCAAACATTACTCAAGTGGGAATAAATTTTTGCGTATTAATAAATTTTTGGTGCAATACAGAGTGTCCTGCATTTGCTCAAAATATTAAAGGAAAACGTTACCCAACAGTTTTGAATAACAACAGTGCTGTATTTGCTGTTTTCTTTACACATATTAATTCCAACAAATGACACCATCACAAGCCACAAGTGCAGTCTTTATAAAAGTAGCTTAAATTATTGAAACAGCTGTTTTTTATTTGATTTGTTTTATACAATTGCTAAATTAACTAAAAGATTTTGACCACAACATGGCAGATTTTTCCTCCTATTTACATCTGAATTATTTCTTTATTTAATTTATTTACGAATTACTTCCAACTATTCTAGTATTTCTATGTGTATTTGCTCATTTTATTTTTAACTTACCCGTTTCCGATCATCTTCTAGGTGTAATAGTGACGGGAATTCTGTACAAATGTTGAGCTAATGCAGTGCATGTCTCAGACTGGGAGCTACCCTGACTAGTTATGCTTTAGTCTCTGACTCACTGCACCATCTTGAGGTCAAACGTGGTATTACTCAAAAGTACAGCCAAGCCTCAAACTTCAGCTGATACCTCTTTGACACAATACAGACAGCTTGACCATCATGTAAATTCAAATATAGCTCTGTCTGCTCTTACAGTAAGTTCATGTGAACAGAGGGAAAGGTTTCACTTCATCTTAATGTAAGTAACAGGGGACAGAATTTGGTTAGGTTTAACAAGAAGCTAAGAAGCTTTTAATTAAATAAAGTTTTAGCATTTTTGTATGAAATTCCCTTTGTATTCCTATCTGCCCTCTGCAGCACTCTGTAAATATCTGCATGATTTTGGTTTAAGTCTGCCGACTGAAGCCTCTTACCACCTTCAGAATGAGCACTGTGGGTTTGTTCCATTCCACTTCCAGTGGAAACATTTCCAATCCAAGCATGTTAACGTTTAAACGTAACTTGTGTAGTAGGAATAATTATAAGGTTTCAGTGTGGGTCCAAACAGATGTCATCTGTGGCTGCAAGAAAGACTTTTTGACCGATAGCCTGTCCTACAAACTGGGGGCGTGGAGTTTCAAAGACATTGGCATTTCCCGGACAGAGAGCGTCTGCTGTAGATTGTATCAAGCTGCTTTACTGGATCTAATTATTTTAGAGTCTGACCCATCCTGCTGATTAAAACTTAGGATATCTCAGCCTCTCCAGCTTCAATCTCAACTGCTTTTGTCTTTTTTTTAATCTGAAGTCCAAAACTTTCTCCAAGTTCAGACTAATTAATATTATTAGTTTTATTCTCAGCACATTTATAATAATAATAATAATGGATTGCATTTATATAGAGCTTTTCGGGACCCCTCAAAGCGCTTTACAATTCCACTATTCATTCACATACTGGTGGAGGCAGCTACAGTTGTAGCCACAGCTGCCCTGGGGCAGACTGACAGAGGCGAGGCTGCCATATTGCGCCATCGGCCCTTCTGGCCATTTACAATGACTGTGTGTGGAAACCATTATTTAGTACCTAGGCGTAATTTAACATAATTTCTTCATGATCATAGGGATGCCTGGTTCATAAAGGTGGCTGGTATTTTGACCATTATGGAGCGCCAACAGTGTTAACCCCTTAAAACCTGAATCATGATATAACTGCCAGAAATCTTTAATTTTTTGATAATGGAGTATTTGTTGAACCTTAAGAGAAAATATATAAAAATATATCAAATTTTAATCTGCATATATATGAGTTTTCATTTGCATCACATTTGCTACATAAGCCATATTTTTGCAGTTTAGTCATTAAAAATGTGTCATGCAATTTATATCATTTTACGAGGGTAAAAAAAAAGTCACACTGATGATGTAGAACAGCGGTCCCCAACCTTTTTTGCGCCACGGACCGGTTTATGCCCGACAATATTTTCACAGACCGGCCTTTAAGGTGTCGCGGATAAATACAACAAAATAAAACTAGTACCGGTACCGAAAAAAAGAAAATTTATTCATAACACACGTGAAAAGACCCAGGAAAACCGAGTAAACGATAAAAACGATAACAAAATAACACTGAAAACCGATAAAAACCCTGAAAACCATACATTTCACACCTGAGCCTCAACTCTCGCGGCCCGGTACCAAACGACTCACGGACCGGTACCGGTCCGAGGCCCGGGGGTTGGGGACCGCTGATGTAGAAGTCTCAAAAACTCACAAAAACACTTGTATCAAATACAATACGCTGGGCGTCAAAGGGTTAAAATGCAGTTTTTCATGCTTGATTCCAGGTCAGAGTAGAGGATGCACAACATTAACACATCAAGAGGAGGGATTATGTTCTTGAATCTCACTGGGCTTGCTGCTCACAGTGAAAGGAAGGAAAATCCAGTGCAGCTGACTGCCACTAGATGTCAGCCCTTGATGATGTTAAAAGTTGTTTCTCAGAAGTGTGAACCTCCTTCTCTTCTCCCCCAGTCTCCTCTCTCCCTCCCCCTTCTTCATTCCATATTTTTTCTCTCTGTCCCTTCCCATCCACTCCCCCCACTCTCTCTCTCTCTGAACCTCAGAGCGCGCTATATAAAACATCCCTCCACACTCAGATATACAAACACCTCCGTTCCCACCACAGCGCCTCCGAACCCTGCGTCAGAAAATACCCCAGTACTCACTTGAAGCGTTTGAACAGCAGACACCTGACCCTTCCTGAATGAGCTGGAGAAGACTCCTTTCTTCTCCCGCATCTCTGGACCGTCTTCTTCACTCTTTATTTCTCCTCAAGTTTGGCAGCTGATAACGGCTCAATCAGAAGGAGATTTGTTTGTTTGTTTGCAGCAGCTGAGAAAATCAAGGACTGTTTGACATGAGGAGAGACGTTCCACAAAGAGGCATGAAGACCACATGTCTGTGGACTGCCGCCGTGCTGCTGTCAGTCATCTCTCTGGTGAGTTAAATATTTTGATTTGACCTTCTTTTAAATTCT